GCTTCATTCACCTCTAAGACATGGTCCACCCTGTCTCTGACAGCTACTCCCCAGCAGCCCTAGACACTCGGCTCCCTCCCTCTCTTTGAACTGTGTTGCTTACAAAGTCAAAATCAGTTGTGTCTGTTTTTTCACAAGTGAAAGCCAGTTATTTTTACCATTCTAATTATTTAAGTTAACGTTATGTAAAAGCTAATGAGATAACTATGAAAAAAAAGTGTTGTTATCTTTGAATATTTTATAAAGAAATGATTAAAATGCTATTAAATTTTGGTGGTGGTGAGATAAGTATGAAATAGTAGGATAAAAACTTAAAATGCTTATACTTTTAGATTGTTTTACAAGTGATAGGTCTTTTTTTTTTAATGAAACTTAAACTGGAAATGAAAATGATGTGTTATGGGTGTGGTGTATGCAAGAAGGAAGATGAGGTTCTTGCATTAGAAGGCAACACTCAAATGGTTGGTGAATGAGCAATAAATGTATAGGTTTATCTTAAATAATAAAGGTTAATATGTAAATTGACCAAACAACAGAATGACTGGTCGCTATGACATGCACTGACCACCAGGGGGCAGACGCTCAATGCAGGAGCTGCCTCCTTATGGGCAGTGCACTCCCAGAGGGAAAGTGCCACTCAGCCAGAAGCTGGGCTCACGGCTGTGAGCACAGCGGTGGCGTAGGTAGCCACTACTGCCTCTGCAGCAGTGCTAAGAACTCCTCAGGGGATGTCTGATTGCTGGCTTAGGCAGACATCCCCCAAGGGATCCCAGACTGTGAGACACCCTCCCCCCCAGTGTATGAATGTTATGCACCGGGCCTCTAGTATTACTATAAAGTATTCAAGGTACGTGTTAATCACTCTTTAATGAGTCCTCACATTCATTGGTTTTCAATTATGTAACCAACTATAGATTTTCCTTGAATTAAATAAGAGAATTCCTATTATACTATTTATTTATATGCCAATATGTTAAATAATTATTCTGTGGCCCCTTTCCTACTACATCTATCTTACCTCAAACCCTTCCTTTCTTTTCAAATCCTTTAATTATCAACAAAGTTTAGATACAATATAAAGACCTAAAGAAAACAGAATGAGCAAAATTATCTCAGAAGTGCCCATTAACAATCCGTTTTTAATCCTGACCATTATTGTAATCACTACAATTTTTAGGGAATTCATTTCTTGGTCAAATCAGTCCATTCACTCAACTTTGTTGGCTCTTTTAGAGCAAAGATTATTACTAGCCTATATATTAAAAGCCAAATACACTAAGTATCAGGTTGTCTGGTTTCCATTCAACCAATAAAAGCATAATATGCTAATAATATGCTAATGCTGCTCAACCACTCACTATGACATGCACTGACCACCAGGGGGAAGATCCTCCAACTAGTAGGTTAGCTTGCTGCTGTGGTCCAGCTGATTGGGACTGAGCAAGACAGTCTGGACACACCCTGGAGCCCTCCCATGGACCCTCCCCAGCTGGCCAACCTTCAGTGTCCCTCCCCGGCCCCAATCATGCACTGGTGGAGTCCCTTTGCCTGACCTCTGCCCTCTCACAATCCGGGCTGAAGGACTCTCTCCCCCAACCCCAGTGCACAAATTTTGTGCACCAGGCCTTTAGTAGTTTATATTTTTAAATGTTTAAATAAAAAGCATTTTACATTGACCAAATTAAATAAAGTGTTACCATTTTTAAGAATAGTTTGTAAGGGGAGAAATATAGAGATATAATTATTTTAAGTGTTTTTGGGTTTTTTTTTATATGTTTTCTAAAAATTGATTTTAGAGAGAGGACGGGAGAGGGAGAGAAGAAGAGAAACGTCAATGATGAGAGAGAATCACTGATTGGTTGCCTCCTGCACACCCCCTACTGGGGATCTAGCCTGCAACCTGAGCATGTACCTAGATCTGGAATTGAACCATGATCTAGTTCAGTGGTCAGCAAACTGCGGCTCACGAGCCACATGTAGCTCTTTGGCCCCTTGAGTTTTTAGCAAAGGCCAGCTTAGGAGTACCCTAATTAATTTAATAACAATTTACCTACCTATATAGTTTAAGTTAAAAAAATTTGGCTCTCAAAAGAAATTTCAATCATTGTACTATTGATATTTGGCTCTGTTAACTAATGAGTTTGCTGACCATTGTCCTAGTTCATAGATCAACCTCAACCACTGAGTCACAAGGCCAGGCTTATGTGCTTATTGATTCAACAAATATTTTCTGTCTGTTATGTGAAAGACAGTGTACTTATACATATATTAAAAAAGAAGAAAAAAAATCACCTTATATAAGAAACCTGATATGCCTATTGTCCTTACTCTGGGGAAGCTTTCTTTTGATTACTTTAAATAAGAAGTATAAAATAGACTATGTAAAAAGTGAAGTGAAAGCCAATAGCATAGCTAAAATAATTCTCTGAAAAAAAGCATGTTTCCATGAATAATGTGAAGACAAATGCATTAAATTGAAAACAGTGGGCAAGAAAAACAAGAAAATAAAAATAACAAGGGAAGCTCTCAGGATTTAGATTAACGGTTATTGTTGTTTTAATCTGTATTCAACAGGCTAAAAATTCATCATAGTTTTCTACTAAAACCTGTACACTGAATCAATGCGTGGCATTTTCTCACTGTGTGTCTTCAGCAATGCATTGCCAGTGACAGCATTTGATCTTGAGCCTTCCCCACAGGAGAGCTACAGCCCTTGGGGTGAAGAATTTTCTAAAGCAGCAGATCTGCCATCCCTGATCTGTCAGGGTGAGTCAGACAGACATTCCACTCCCTGAGGACAACCAGAAAACAAATAGACATCAAACAAAATGCAAACAAATTCATCAAAGGCATTTGACAAATTAGTAGGTGCCCTAAGGCATCAAAAGCAAGGGCAAGAAACAAATAGCACTTCATTCATTATAATCTTTTGATTTCAATATCCCAAGCATAAATTAAACCATCTTTTATGTCTTCTGATATTTAATTACATAAATATGCCAAAGGCGGTTTGGCTCAGTGGTAGAACGTCGGTCTGCGGACTAAAAGGCCCCAGGTTCGATTCTGATCAAGGGCATGTACATTGGTTGCGGGCACATCCCCGGTGGGGGGTGTGCAGGAGGCAGCTGGTCGATGCTTCTCTCTCATCGATGTTTCTAGCTCTCTATCTCTCTTCCTTCCTCCTCTCTGTGAAATATCAATAAAATATATTAAAAAAAAATAATTACACAAATACATGGGCTTGAAACCTAGCCAGCATTACATGTTCTCACACACTGCTAATACTCATTGTTCACTCTTTCTACAAATGTTCATCAAGCTTCTACCACTCCAAAGCACAGTGCTGGGCGCTGGAAGAATTTCATGGTGAACAGAAGACAACAGGACTCTCTTTACCAAGCCCTGAGTCTACCGGGTGGGATTGGTGAAGCAGGCATAGTAATTAAATTTTCACAGAAGCAAACATGAAACTGCAGTAAATACAAATTTGATGGCGAGCTATGTGATTCAGAGAATCTATGTTTTTAACTCACCCAGAAGGTCAAAGATGGCCTGTATAAGAAGTTCAGAGGGATTCTTAGAAGTTAATTACTCAAAGAGGGAGGGAAAGATACCCCAGTCAGAGGAAACATCCACCTTTTGGAGCATGGTGACAAGAGGGGGTCTCATCTGATGAGGCTGAACGGAAGTCATTGGCTAATGCAGAGCGTGCCAAGGTGCTGTGGCATGCTATGGGTTTGAAAGAGAGATGAAGGAGCCAGAGCATGAAGGATCTCACAGTTATGATACATATGATACATGGTTTTGCCTCTATCTTGAGAGCTATATAAAGTCAAAGCAGTATATGACGTGTGTGTGTGTGTGTGTGTGTGTGTGTGTGTGTGTGTGTGTTTTCATGCATGGGTGTGTCTATTGGTGGTGAGGGTGTCAAGCTACTTGAGTGGCCTGCCTTGATCCATTTTCTTTCATGCTCTTATACTTTACATAATCGTTTCTTAATTTTACCAACAAACAACTGTCCTTATTAACAGTTTCTCCATATGGAAAGAGGAACTGAAGTTGAATATAAAGTATCAATAGTTTATATCTAAATTGTGGAAAGCACAAAGATGGCATCATTTATGAAGAAAATATTAAGCCAGTATCAATTACAGGTTTTGCATGTCATTTGTAACATAATGTAACTGAATGACTTTTTTATATGAATGGTCTGTATTCCAAAATACAGGTGTGGCAAAAGTAGGTTTACAGTTGCTTGTATGGAAAATACTACAACAATTAATAAATAATACAAGAATAAACACCGTGTTTCATGTTCTCACAACTGTAAACCTACTTTTCCCTTCCCTGTAGTACAATTTGCTTTTCATATGAAGAGGATCAAGAAAAAGCTTGTTCTGACTAAAACCAATTAAATACTTGAATAATCACACTAACCATATACACTGTTGTTCCTGAGCAAAATAATGAATAAAATATTATATACCCACCAGTATTGATTACATTAAAAGTGAGTAGTTTTCCTATTTTAGATAATTTAAGCTAGAGTACTTGTACAAGAGGTTGGGGATATAAAAGATCTGAGTATACTCTAAGCATAGCACATTGAACAATATACAAACTATCACCTTTTTATAATTCTATCTAACAAAAGAGTAATATGCAAATTAATAATCACTCTGCTACACCCACAAGCCACGCCAACTAGCCAATCAGGAGCAAGTATACAAATTAACTAATATGGCTGCGGCCACTGAGTGAGCAGGTGGCTTGGGTTTCCCCCAACAATGAAGGAAGCCAAGCTTTCCACACACCCTGCCAGGCCCAGGCCTCTGCTTCAGGCTACAAAGTTTTAATTATAGAAGATAAATAAATTGCAGATACCAGGGCCTCCGCTTGGGTTGCCAGGGAGCATGGCTGGCCTGCAAATCACCACTGGCCCCTAGCCCAGGCCATCCCATGCCCCAAGGTTTCCATTTTCATTTTTCTTGAAAATATACAGGGTGCCCCCCAAAAATATATATATACTCATGTTAACAGCTGATAGCTCAATTCTGAAAATGAAATGTACTTTAATAAGCACTGCCTTTATAATTATTCAGTGTGTATATACATTTTGGGGATATCCTATACATACCCCCTTGCACTATTTTATGAACATTAGAAACCTATTGAAATATGTCTTTTCTATATGGAAACCTCTGTTTCCAGATGTTTGTTATTTCTGAGAAGAAATTTTATGTGAACTATTGAATTCATCCTGTTACATTTAAGTATGCCCCTGGTTTTGATGCTCAGTCCTCTGCAGAAACTAAATGTCTGTTGACTTGCTAAAAGCAAGAACATAATGCTCCCACTTTGGGCACTAATGACAGCGATTGGGATGATAAGATGAGTACTGTACCTCAAAGCCTTTAGAATGTATAACCCATAAAACTAACTCAGAAGGACAGGAGCCTAGAAGTTATCAATATAGTTACTGTAGAGACTCGGTCTTAAGGCCTGGGAGTGTACAATCCTCACTCTCATTGTTAACTAAAACAAATGTTTCCAAGCTATCAGTAACACTCTAAGTAAAGAAGGGAAGCTCATGACAATCATCATACAAATTAAAACAGAACAGAAGGAATGCAGGAAGATTCCAAGTGTTGAGTTCCCAAAATATGTCCCTAAAATCCTTCCTTAAAAAGAGCAGTGGCAGTTCAATGCTTCAGCCCTCCAAAGATCACCAACTTGAACTCTGTATTTCAGAACACTCAAAGGATATGGGAAGGGGGAAATCCAGACTCCACAGTTAAAATCTATTTCGTTTTCAGGCTTATGGCCTTCTTCATTTTTTAGAATCTTAGCAGGAGTAAAACTGTCCTAACCCAGCAGCCCTAATTACCCAGGGAGTCCAGTCAGAAGACACTCGTCCAGTCCATCTAGCTTTAGTCCAACACACTCAAGATTGAGGGCTGGGCTCTAGCTCGTTTAGCTCAGAGGATAGAGCATCGGCCTGTGGACTGAAGGATTCTAGTCAAGGGCACTTGCCTGGGTTGTGGGCTCAATCCCCAGTAGGGGACATGCAGGAGGCAGCCAATCAATGATTCTCTCTCATCATTGATGTTTTTCTCTCCCTCTCCCTTCCTCTCTGAAATCAATAAAAATCTATTCAGCTCACCCATGTGGGAATGCACATGGGTGAGCTGAATAGAAAGCCCTCCTTTTTCAGTCTGAGTGGGCACTGAAACTTTAGTCTTTCTCTGAGACGACCCAGAATCTCTGAAAACATCCACACGGCTGTGAAAGGTCCTCCCGCCCCAGCTGGGTTAGGCCTAATCATATTTCTCAAGGTCTCCACATGACGGCATTGCCCTGATGCTACTGAACGTGTTGGGTGTTTCTTCTGACCGGCGTGGCTTCTCACGCCTGATTTTCTCCTGGAGGGTTAGGTGAGGAGCTCCCTCGCCTGCCTCGCAGAAGGTCATGCCAGGGTGGACTGCCTCCCACGGCCAATTTGTTCCATTCGGTCACGTGGAGTCTGGCTAGATCTTTCCTGTATTGATAGCCCTTCTTTCGGAAACCCAATTTTTATGTATAAATAAATGCATAATTGAAATATCAACCATAGAGTGTATGTAGAAACAAAATGTATAACTTGCTCATGGGGTACAGATTTTCTTCAGAAAAACAAATATTATTTCATATCAGGTTTTGGAATGAATAGGAATCTGTTCAGTTGTGAATTATGTGCACTTCCAATCTGAAATTGTTACAGAGGAAATTGTGGCAGTTAATCAACATGCAAATTACATGTTTATGTATGAGTTAAAATACATTTTGACAGAAATATGCATGCCAAATATTAAAATTTAAGGCTCTAGCCTTGTAATGAAAGTGACTCAAACCACAGGAAGATCTGCCTTACCTGTAGATATATTGAAGGTCAAGAGAGTTTTAATTAATACTTGCCAGATAATTTTTTTTCTAGGTGATATAAAATGAAATATTCAAAATGCAGGAAGTCAGAAAACACTCATACTCAAAATCTGCCACTTCCATCATAATACATGGTTATAAGATCCATCCCAGTAAATATCATTTTTAGATATGTGTTCAGGATTAAAATGGGTACATTTAAATGATCATTCTGAGATAGAATTTCTGTTCATAAATATTTAAAAATGGACCCCCATTTCTGAATACAACACCACCTTTCTTTTATTCAGAATCTTGTAAAGTTCAACTTTCCTTAGAAACTTTACAAGATTCTGAATAAAAGAAAGGCGTTGTGTCCTGGCAGATAGCTCAGTTGGTTAGAGCCTAGTCCCAATACGTCAAGGTTGCAGGTTCAATCCCTGGTTAGAGTACATTCAAGAATCCACAAATGTATGTATGAATAAGTGGAAGAAAGAAAATTTTAATTAATATTTTTCTTTCTCTTTCTCTCTAAAATCAATAAAATTTTAAAAAGCAGTTTCTATGAAAAGGTGTGAGATTAAAATCAAAACACAAAGTAATTAAAGTAATTTGCATTTGGAAGATCCTCCAGCTAATATGATTAAAGCAAAGTTAAATGTTAGCTACTGTTCTGTATTAGACAGTGTGCTAATTGCATTACATTCATTATTCTCTTTAAATGTTTGGGAATGGAAGGAAATTGAAAAACTGAGACCAAAGGAATGAAATAACTTGACCAGATCACATTGTCAAGAAGTAAGAGAGCTATGTTCTCAATCAAGGTCTGGTCCCAGACTCCTTACACTGAACCACTACACTGCACATCTCAGACTAAATGATAGACTAACAATAGCTTTCTCCCACAGTTCCTTGTCATTTCCTGGGTACACTTCAGGTTAATGAATTTGGTGTGGAACTAAAGGTGGAGTTACAAGATCCAGGATAGCACCTGTAATGCCAAGAAACAGGAAAATGACTAGCTTTTGGTGTGAGAGACAACAGGATGTTAAAAGAGGGTAACTCTGAAGAAGATAAGTAGATCTGGGCAGGCTCTGGGCAGAGACTAATTTAACAAATAATAGGGCTTTGGTGAGACAGCCAGGTATACAGTAGAGAATGGAAAAGGTGTTAGAAAATGCAGGATGACAAACTTAAAATGTATATTAAGGACATTTAATTATAAAGCGGAGACAAAAGTGAACCAGGAATTCAGAGCCAAGACTCAAAGTATAAGAGAAAGTTTGTGTAGACAGCCACAGAGGTGGAAGTGAGCTGTAGAAGAAACGGGCTCAGGAAACAAGTTACAGAGGCAGAGGAAGGGCCCTTGGAGTGGAGGAGAGAGATACCTGCCTTGAGAGACCAAAGAGGGAGAAGTCTGAGCATGCTCGGGGGGGGGGGGGGGGGGGGGGGGGGGGAGAGAGAGAGAGAGAGAGAGAGAGAGAGAGAGAGAGAGAGAGAGAGAGAGAGAGAGAGAGGGAGAGAGGACTCACTCTGAGGGTGGGGAAACACACAGGCCTGCTCCATAGAGGGAGCTTTTATCTGAGGTCTCAGGGGAGGATCTCAATAGAATACTCATCAGCTTTCCCCTTGTGCCTCCTCAGGTTTCTAGTCTTCACTGATTGGTCAATGCCAAGGGCTCATTAGTCATTGCAGCTTGTCCTGATGTCAGTCATGACTCATCCTGTCTGATTTTGCTGCTTCTCCTGGTCTGGAGCTGAGACCAGCTGAAGTCTAGATGGCACCTCCAGAGGTTAGTGCCTCAGGGAGTGGTCATGCAAGGGCTTGTAGTTTTGCCCATTGGAGGGCACCAGGCCTCTCTGTCCTTGTGACTCTGCACCTGGCCCATCGTTCCTGCTCTGCTTACGCCTGTCTAGCTGCCTACCACATATTTAGTATCCCACTTGGGATAGGCAATTTTTAATATGTTACCCCATTTAATTTGCTCCAAGAACAAATACTTTGGAATATTTTTTCCTCATTGTTATTGCTTCAGGTACCAAACATTTCGAAGAACACTGGGATGATAGAATTTAGAGTCAATGTTAGAGCCCACACTCTTTGATTGCAAATGCTGCCATATGTTTAAGTTCAAGGAGAAAGGGAGTATTAAAAATAGATGTTTTAGGTGATTTTGAATAAATTTTCTGCATATAATTTCTATTTTTTTTTTTACCATTTTAACCATTTATAACTTTATAGTTCGATAGTGCTAAGTACATTCACATTGTCTGATTTCCAGAATTCTTTTCATCTTACAAAATGGAAACTCTATTTAGCAACTTTCACATTCTCCCCTCTCCCAACTGCATTTTATCTTTTGAACATGAGATTTATTAGTTTAATCTACTTTTTTTATATTGAATCTATTGGTTAATAAAATTATGTAGGTTTCAGGTATACAATTCTATACCACATCAACTGTATATTGTGTTGTGTGTTCACCACCACAAGTCAAATCTCCTTCCATCACCACTTCTCCCCCGTTTCCCCTCTTCTACCTCCCTTTCTCCCTTCACACCCATCCACCTTCCCCCCACCCCCCCTTCCCCAAGTCTGATAATCACCATGCAATTGTCTGTATCTATGAGTTTTGGATGTTTGGGTATGTTTTTTTATGTTTTGTTTGTTTGTTTGTTTTTTGCTTAATCCCTTCACCTTTTTCACCCAGCCTTGCAACACCCTCTCCCCTATGACAGCTTGTAACAGCTGTACATATTTATGAAAAGAAGTGAAAATTTTTTTCTAAAATTTCCTACTTTGCATTCCTTTAAAGAAGAAAATATCTGTATTTTCTTGTGAATTGAATTGTATTTTTATAAGTTCAAAATGACCTTTTTTGTTTCAGTCCTCTCCATCTTTAAAGGAAGGTCTATTCTTGAAATGGGGTCTATCAGGGAAGGATGTAGAGCCCTCTTGGGTATTCTGGGTGCAGACGAAGAGGAAAGGGGTGAATTTAGAGGTGCATACTATTTCTTCAGTATTATTTTCTTTGTTTTGATTGGCAGGGAAAATTAACTAAGATAGGGTACTATTTTTGTGCGCATGATAAACCAGGACATGTTAA